TGCTTTCGTACTGCAATTATGAGAAATTGCACGTGAGAATGCAATTCAACCTAAATCATCAAAAAGACGATCTTGGAACGATTAAGTCAAGCACCAACTGCATTTTAAAAGAGAAAAAAGAACTCAAGGAAGAGCTTGATCAAATGACAAAAGACTAAACATCTCCATTCCCATCAGATCTAGTTTTGCCTGCATCTTTTTCTCTTACTGAGGTCAAGAGGCATCGTGAAAAAGGAATGAGAAACTTCCTCGATGAAACATAAGTACCAAAGCTTTGATGTTCCAGCCAAGGTACTCATTCCAGCATTCTATAATGCACATAGAAGATTTGGGCTGGTTCCTTCGGAAACACTGCTGCTATCATAGCAATTCATTGGGCACTACTTTTAGCATACCTTGAGATACTATCACGTGCATCTTGGCCTTTTGGTTTCTTGTAAACATGAATTTCCTTGCATTTCACAGTCATCAATACTAGTTATCATAAGATATAGAAGTTCTACAACTCTCTTGCACCAGCCCACGACCAGAGGTTGCTAGTTGCTTGGGATGCAGCCTGGTTCAATCCAAGGATCCTAAAAAGATGAAATATCCAATACACCGGATGTTAAGAGTGGGCATCAGGTCAGCAGGACTCATGCCCACATTTCTTCAAAAATGAGTTGCTGGTGACGACTGCACACATTTCAGGGAGCGTTATATACAAATGTTATGAATCGAATTTGTGCTGAACTTCTTCAATTTACACCTCCGTTTGATGTGACGGAGAAATTCAGACACCTAAATATCAAACATTGTCTTTGTTCCAAGACGATCTTGAAAAGCAAGCAGGCACAATGACCTTTTAGGCTTATACCTTCAAGCTACAACAGAACTTGAATTGCTGGACTATATGGAGAAGGACAGAGCCGCCTGTGAATGTATTCATGGTTAGAGAAGGCAAATTTGTACGTGAAAATGTGATGGTCACCAGTGTCTAGACTAAGATAAGGAAACTTTATACACAGAAAATATAATGGCTGCTAGTGTGTAGAATAAATAAATGGCTGCATGCATCGTTCTGATGCAGAGGCCGGGGGTTAACCTCCTTTTCAAAAAAAAGTGTGTAGAATAAAAAGGCAACATCATACACGACAAGATAATGATCACCATTGTGTAGAATAAGAAGTCTCTCAATGTCTGCACTTTCAAAGAATTTCAGTTTTATGTTGTAAATTTTATTTGGAATATTTTGCCTCTATACATTAGAATCACTTGCCGTTCTACACATTTAGCAGTGCAGAAGTTTACAGTCTATCAAAAGTTATGCTGAGGAATGCAGGATGTAGGGATCACTCAGATTATTGTACTGTAAAAAGGATACTGATGGTAGGGTTTTTTTTTTGAGAATAGTAAGACTATTTTTTTGAGAATTGAACTGCAAAAACATCTTATATTTAGTTACAGAGGTAGTAGTTGTTAGATTTAATGCCAACAGACCACTCCTTTTATTTTCCTACAAGATAATGATGGACCTTTTTGGTTCATGTAACTAATTCAACAGTCTATGACCAAAACTAGACCTGAATAATACTACGTTTTCTGAGAAACTTGTACAATACAACGCAATGTAAAAAAATTAAACTTGAAATCCAGGAAGAGAAATACCTCCATAACAGAGTCCAACGACTGGTCATTTCTAGGGGTCTCCTGTGAAGCGGAAGGTCTCATGTGTGCTTCTATCATGTTAAGCTGCTCGTATACCTCCTTGAGCATTATGATCTGCTCCTTGTTCTTCTTAGGATCATTTAGCTCAATCATCTTTTCACTCTGAACACGCTTCAGCCTTGATCTTGTTCTCTCGACTCCAGCTCGTGGCGTAGAACTCGCCGCAGCTACACGGACATGTCTGTCAACGTTATTCATGGAGCCAACTTTTCGCGTCGCTGAAAACTTCGAAAGAACATGGGACCCTTTATCTCTTAGAGCAACCGCGTGAGGCGTTTCAGATTCCTTTGTGCTGATGCTATGTTTAGTAGGAGTACATGAGTATTCTGCCGGCGCCTTGATTAGTTCTGGATGCTTTAGTGTGTCAGCATGACCTATATGATGAGCCACAGTGTTATCCATTTCATTGTCTGGACGCAGTGACCCGAGTGGATCAGCATGTAGCGTGTCTTGGACATCTTTGCCAACCGGTGTTACAATTTGACTGCATATATCTGTGTGGTGCCCCGCCATTAAGAAGGGGGAAGAACGAGAAGACCCTTCGGATGGACAAGAGTGTTCAGTACCACTGTTGCTTGAAGGTTTTGGTTCTTCCCCATGCTTTTCAGTACTGTCCATATCTGCTGCTAAGCTTTCCTTGGAACCTATGGCTTTCAGGTCGCTGGAAACTTGTTCCAGTTCATTTTCACTAGAGTTGTGCATGTAAACACCTAGCCTGCTCCTCGCTGACGCAACCGATCCGTTGTTTTTGTTCATGTCCATTTCAGCAAAACGTTTACTCAACTGAAAAGTTGGAAGAGAGAAATTCCTTTTGATGGTATAACAAAGATTCTCTACATCTCTGCTTCCAAACAAAGGTATATTTTTTGTTATCGTCTCGTCTGCAATATCACAATCATCAATACCAACACCCAGTAACCTTTGTTTATACACCTGCAGTTGGCTCCTGAGATAATAGATCTCCAGTTCCTTGTGCTGCATGACTTCCTTCACGACCTCCAGGGCTTTGTCACTATGATTCATCCTTTCTTCAGCCATTCTTCTGTACTGACATGCTTCCATTCTCTCTGCCTCCTTTTCTTTCTGAAGTTTTCTAATCATTGACAGGGCAGCGCTTGCAGCACTTGATGAAGCCTCCCTTTCCTCTTCTAGCTCCATGAATAATTTTTTCATCATAATATACTGGGCAAATACTGCTCTCTGTAACTGAGCAGTCTCATTCTCTGCCAGCTTGGTGAAAGGCTCCATTACTACTAGTTTTAGTATTCACCTTACAATAGTCTTAATTCATCTGTTCAACCTGCACCGTTTAGCAACACCAGTTTAATTTTTGTAATATGTACTGCCCCAATTTTAGTCGCATAGTTCATCACTATTTATAAGGACTACATTAATTATACAATCTTCATGATCAGGATTATAATAAACTTCTATTTCTAAAGCATAAACTAGTGGCGGACAAGCTAGAGCAGAGCACAGTTATATCAAAAAAAGCAATAAGTTATATACTCCCTCTGTCCCAAATTAGTTGACTTTGATTTGTCTAGATACGACAAATCTGAGTCAAGTAATTCGGGACGGAGGGAGTATTATGCATAACTATCTCTGACTCCATTCTAGTAGTTTGCTTTAATTATCGTACAGACGACCAGAGAATAATAACAATGAATTCAAATATGAATTATGTTGAAATTTAAAAAGAAATAAAGGTATGAAGATGACATAAAAAATAGAAAAGGAAAAGGTCTTACCACTAGGATTATAATCTTATGGCTCGCATTTTCTTCTCACAGAATCATGTATCGTTTAGCCTGAAGGCAAAGGAATAATCTCAGATGCAGAACATAATGTAAAAGTAGGTAAAACAAGGTGCATGGTAAAAACTAAAGAATGACGTCATTTGGTTCTTTCCATGAATCTGTACATGGTAGCTACCAAGAATATGGAATGCCCAACTAAGTGCTTTTGAAAAGGCAAAAGAAGGCCACATAATATCAACGAAATTCTGTTTCCAAGAACCATGCCCTGCAGGAAAATGTTAATCGCAAAGTTTGTGGATTAAAGAGCCATTAATTGAGCTATGCTTTCTATACACAAAAACTAGTTATTATGCCAAAACACAAACATCAAAGTAATAATACAGAAAAAACGGAAAACATGTATCAAACATTTGAAACGGGTGACCTGAAGAAAGATACAGTAAACTAATAATGAGGATTCTGATACATTTTGGCTGTCAACATGGTTCATAGTTACACAAGATATCTTGTGCCTGGCAAATACCTCTAATTGCTGAGCTGAAATGTCAGATAAGAGATAACAGGATTCCTGGAGAAAATGAACATGCAAAACCAAGAACAAATGGGAATGCATGCTGTCATGGCCTCACCAAAATTTGATCTCAATGAAGCCAAGATACTCTTCAGGCCAGCCTCCAACGGCTCCGCCGTTCCTTCCGGCGTGGAAGAATTGCCGGTGACCAGCATAGCGTCTATTAATAGGAGAACAATTGGAGGTCTCCTCTTAAGAGGGAGAAAGATAAGATGGCGTGCTTTATTTTTGGAATGTGGGTTTGGAGGCTATATGAGCTCTGAACCGACACCATTGTGACACCGTACCATTGACCAGAAAACCGTAGAACAATCATTCTACAGTAAAATTTATTAACGGGAGATCTACCTTATGCAGATACGTACCAACGCTTTCCCGTGTAGCGGCGCGCAAAGATCTGCGCTCGTCCAAATCACATGGTCCCAATGATTACTACCGAACGCGGCCACCTAGAACCGTTAGATAGGTAGACCGCCCCTGCCACCGCGTCGCCCTCCCCCTAGGGCGACTCGGGCGGAGCCAAGAAACCTAGCCACCGCCGTCGCAAACTCCCTCCTCCTCTCCCTCCGCCGCCGCCGGGGGATGCCGCGGGGCTAAGCCCGGGGGCCGGCAACGGTGGCGGGGATCTCCTCTCTCATGCGTCTCCAGGTTGGGGTGGGACCCCTAGGCGTGTAGCGGCGTGGCCGATCTGGATTCTGCGGCGCGGCGGATGGCTGCAGCAGGTGGCGAGCGGCCGGCCCGTCCTCGGACGTCGGCGGCTAGGCGCGGCGGGCGGCCTAGCCATGGACAGCAGCGTGGGCTGCGGGCGCAGTGGCCGGCCTTTTCGGGCGGCAGCGGCGGCCAGCTAGGCCGCGGTGTCGTGCATACCGCCTTCAAATCGGCGTCGGCAGTGTGGAGGGCCTGGTGGTCTCGTCAGCGGCACCTCCGGTCAGATCTGTTCTGACCGATGCGACCGGCAATGGTGGTCATCTCTTTCGTCAGAGGTGGTCAGCCTGAGGCTGGGTGTTCGGATCTCCAGATCCGTGATCCAGTACTGGCTGCGAGTCGGGGAGACATAGTTGCCAGTGAAAACCGAGCTGACGGCGGGCGATGGCAGCGTTCTACGTCGTTACCTTGATGAATGCATCGTTGTGTGACTTATGTCGACCCACTCGTACTGCTCTAGGGGAAACCCTAGGATCTGGTCTTCCAGATCGGACCGTGGCGTTTCTTTCTTGGAGCATCGTTTGTGGAGCAGTGCTGGTGGTCAGAGGCAGGAGGTGGAGCGGCTTTGTCTTGCACGGAGCTTCGGTGGAGATGTCAAGTCATGCCTGGCCGACAGGTGCTACGCTTTGTCATGCCTGGTTGGCAGGTGCTACGCATAACAGATCATCCAGAGACTTCAAGCTGTGTCGGCTAGTGGTACTTGGCGGCATGGTGCTGAGGTGTACCGGCGGCGACCGCGACGTGCTCAGCATTTCGCGCGCAGGGTGGTGGTGCCGTTGGGCGCCGTGGTGGCGTTGACGGCAGTTAGACCGGGCAAGGATGATGCGCCAGTACAACTCTGAAGATGGAGTAGTGGCAGTTGGCGGCAACAGCCTCTAAGAGCGCCGCGGACCGGTGTGTGCCCCATACCCTACATGTGGTTTGGTTGGGGTCTCAGGTCTGAGATGTTAGGCTTGGCTGCGAGGTATGTGGTATTAGGCCTGGACTATCAGCATCCCTTCATCAGCTGGATAGGAGTAGCGATAGTTGTCGCCTGGACGGTGGCTTCAGACTTACTGTTGTATTTTTTTATAAGGTCTTTGATGAATATTAATAATATGGCTGCATGCATCGCTCAGATGCAGAGGCCGGGTGATCCTTCTTCTCTAAAAAAACCTAGAACCATTAGATAGTGTATGGAGGATCAATCGGTTGACGGTTGTAACACACACACACACTAAATCATTAATGATGCGCATTGCTGTGCCCGTACATTTTTACAATAAAATGGTAGTATTTCTAAAAATACATATTTTTACAATAAAATGGTAGGTATTAAAAAATAATAGCTATTTCTAAAAATACATAGGCATACGACATAACATGAAAATTATGTCTATTATAATTCAGAACAATGAAACATCAAGGTGATATAAATAGCATGATGTAATAGTTGGTACACCACAGGAGCAATGCAATAGGGTGATCGTTGGCCAGAACATCAAAGGCCTTCTTGGTCTCAGTTTTGATCTATTACATGAATTTATGGATAAATCGAGCAATTTTGAAAGCAACAAAATTATTCTTTAAGAAAAACAAGCTTGAATTTATTCATGAAGCTGAACAATGTTGAAAGCCTTAAGTCTATCTTATAACAAAATTATTCTTTAAGAAAAACAAGCATGCATTTACGCATGAAACTGAACAATGTTAAAAGCTTGAGATCTAGCTTTTGCACACAAAAATAACTTGGTTAAAAAACTTTGATGCAAGCAGATGCATCCACAACATCACATCCGTCCGCAAAACCGAAACTATCCTAACACTTGATGTTTTAATAGTCGTCCTTTTGCAATTTTCTCTTCGTGGACACATGTAGACACTCTGCTTTCCTAAAAAACGTTGAAACCTAGAGATCAAGTAAAGAAATGTATGGATGTATAATGGCTATCTATATAATTCAAATGTCGTGCACTCAGTTTGTATATATATAAAGAGGATAATATGATTTGTTGGCATCAGGGGGAGAGACTAATCTTTGATATACAGATAGCTTGTAACAATAAAGTTACCATGATAGGCCATACGGGAACATCAAAAGCTGACATTCGAGGAGATTGTACTACTATATGGACGTATTTTTGGCCAAATGTGGAACTGTATGGTAGCATCGCAAGACTTAAGTAGACAATTCGAAGCTACGATAGCATTAATAAAATCCCCCCTGGACTAAAGTAACATATGGTCTTTTTTTTCTATGATGAAGAAGCGGTTATAATCAACTGAAACTTTTTTATCCCAACAATTAAACATGTTCACACATATTACCCATATAAGTATAGAGGAAGACGCTTAGAATACATGAGTGCAGTTTCACATTTTTTTTAAAGTCGCCAAACCGCGGACATCAGTAATATATAGAAGAGTATACCAATTGGCTGGAGATCTGATGGCACCCTCAAACATGATGAAGTGGACGGTGCATGGTGGACCGCAATGCCCTATTACAGTAAAACGGTAATAATGGTAAAAAAGGGTAAGGAATATGGCCTCTTAATAAGTTAGCAATACGCAAAAGTAAAAATATACTGAAAGATAAATTAATAAATAATTTAGGACTATGCAGAATGACAAATATGCCTCTTAATGCATATAAACATGTGAGAAATTAAATTAAAAACTGAAAACAGGTCTTAAATATTGTATAAACTAAATTAATACGCAACATCAACAGTCATTTCAGACGACCGCAAATCAATCTTGCACTTTTGGGAGGATGTCTGAAAACTAATGGAAAGTGTTTTTCATTCATCATAGGAAGGTACATGTGATACATATAGCGGCCGTAGCCTTGCCCAGGACGGGCGCGGATTCTCTACCTTGCTGTGGCGAAGGCACCGGTGACTTTGCCACTGGATCAAGAATGGAAGGCTGAAATCACTGCAAGTACTGTCCCAAGTACTGTTCACATGAAATTACTGTTTGCTCGTATTGTAGAAAGTACTGTTCGGACCCCTTGTAGCATCCAATTTGGTACATTGGTTTCCAATCCGACGGGTGAAACTGATCAAAGGTAGGGGTTACTGTTCACCTCTGCCTTTGCCACAGCAAGGCAGAGAATCCACAGCCGCCCAGGACGTGGGCGTTGTGGGATCGTGGCTGGAGCATGAGACACTCCAGCGCTGACCAAATGGTCTCCTAACAACCCCCCCCCCCCTCCCTGAAGTGTGAAC